AAAGACTTCATGAATGCAAAAACCACACCTTTCGATGGCACTGGATGTGTCATTTCCTTGACTCGGTGATTAGAGAAGATCGAGTCCATTTTCGAAATTTGTTCGTGTTCTGAGGTTAACAAAGTAAAATTCGCTGCTTGCACCTTCGCTAGACATGCACAAAGACCCGATCCGATCCGATCCGATCCGGATCCGAATCCGATCCGGTTTGATGACGACACACCCAATCCGATTCGGCATTAAATCCGAACCGGTTTCAAACCGGTTTTGACCGGTTTTCCGAGCCCCCCATCCGATTCGGTTTAATCCGATCCGGATCCGATCCGATCCGAAATCCGATCCGATTTTCTTTTTTTTTTTTTTTTTTTTTTAAATACACATTTTTTGGACTTCAAATATAACACAAAATGCAACATGGGTACATTAAAATAGTTAAAACATACATCAAACGTCGAATTAGAAAGAGTTTTTAAACTAGTTAAATAATAATAATAATAATAAAGTGGCGTTATAACATCTAGCCAAATGGAAATAGTTTTTGTGGTCTTCCACTTCGTGTCGCCTTCCTTTAATTATTCTTCAACCGCCACGCATGTAACTAGGGGTCTCATCAATGCCATATTCTTCATCCCCGTCTTCATCTTCGACTTCATCGTCATCGTCTTCGTCTTCCGGAGGTGTTGATAAGCCTTGTGCATATTCTTCATCCATGATCTCCGGTTCAACATTTTGTGATAGTGGGCCTTCTAGTGATGCCAAGTGTTGTATACGTTCCACAGAATCCAAGTAATCCTTCAAGCAAACGCAAACCTCTACCGCAACCGGGGTAAGATTCGTCCTCAACTTTGATAAAACTCTTCCACTAAAAGAAAAAGCGGATTCCGAAGCTACCGTGGAAGCTTGGACGGTTAGTAAATCACGGGCCATGACGGAGAGAATAGGAAATTGTGCTTCCTTTTCTCTCCACCAAGCCAAAAGATCCAAATTTTTAAATTGTGGTGCACTCATGAATTTTAAAAAGTTTGAACCCATATAAATTCCAAGTTCGCTACTAGGCGTTAATGTGCGTGCTCTTTTGTTTTGCTCCTCCAAAAGGTAGTTATAGAGGTCGATATGAAAATCCGTTCGACCCCCACCACTACCCGATGCACCGCTAGTAGAGTCGGTTACACTTGCAAAAGTGTTTGACATATTGCCATATTTTGTAGCGTAAATGTCAAACAAATTAGTAAAAGTATCATTAAAAATGTTTATTTGGTTACGGATGTAGTTTGAGTTATCTTTGTGCAAATTTAAAGACATAGCAATTTTGGTAATCAAAGCCTCTACACCCGTAACATTGATACATGGGTTTAATGCTGCGGCGCAAGTAAAAAGTGGTGGCATTTCTTTGAAATATTTGACTAGTTTTTGTCTCATTGGTCTCGTAACCAAAACAAATATTTCACTTCTTTGTTCAAAACGTTCCAATTGTGCGGACATCAACCATAATTCATTTAGTAACAACGGACTTGTAGGGTAATACACACCCGATAGAAAAGTGGTTGATTGTTTAAAAACTTTTAACATTTCCACAAACTCTTCCATCAAATCCCAATCATAATCCGAAACCGGGTTTTTTCCTTTTGAAATTGTGTCGTAAAATAATTGCAAAGCGATTCTTTGACGTGTCAAACTTTCAAACATCATGCATGTTGAACTCCATCTAGTGTCACAATCCCAATGAGGACTATATGGAGTTACGTTAATGGAAATGGCAAACTTTCGATATTTTTCCATTGTAGCTTTATGTCTTCCAAAAACTCTAGTTAACACAGTTTTGAATTTTTCAATCGTCGAATCTATCATTTTTAAACCATCTTGTACCGCAAGATTAATAATGTGACAAACACATCTAGTATGAAAAAACGAGCCATCCAAAATAGGTTTATATTTTGCAATTAATCTTTTTGCCGCTGCGGTATTGTTACTTGCATTGTCAAACGAAATAGAGAAGATTTTGTCGCGTAAATTATAAGTCTCTATAACGCTTACTAAAATTGCAAATAATCTTGCCCCCGTGTGAGGATGCGCAAAAAGTTCAAAAGCAATAACTCGTTTGTTCATTACCCAAGTAGAGGGATCTATCCAATGTGCCGTGACACAAAGATAGCTTTTGGGACAACTACCGGCGGAGGACCAAACGTCACAGGTTAAAGAAACACCGGTTTTTATATTTAAAAATCCCAATTGCATATCTTTTTTGGCTATATCCCAATACTTTAAAGCATCACGTCTAAGAGAAGTGCGACTTACTTGCCGGTATTGCGGTTGCATTTTTTCCCGCAAAATCCTTGTTAATCGTGGGTTGTCGAAGTGGTTGAAAGGATAGCCCTCTTGAATCACGAACTTGCAAAAGCTTTCACGAAGGTCATCATTGTTGTAAATGAAGATCGACCCGTCGGGAGTAATATTTGGTTGACTTGGATCGCTTTGACCTTTTACAGCCGGACAAGTTTTTGTTGTATGACTCCTTAACGTGCTATTGCCATCTTTTCCCAAAAACATTCCGCACTTCTTGCATCTCGCTTTTTCCTTCCCGTTCGACAACAAACACAAATCGTAATGTTCCCACACTTCTTTACTCCGAGTGGTTGGTATGATTTTAACCACCGTTGCATCCGAATCTTGACCCGCGGTTGAATTTCTCGAGCTCATTTTTTTGAGTATTATGAGAATAAGTAGTAAATTTTTTGTGTAAAATTGAAATGTAGCAAATGAAAGGTATATATAGGTGTTTAGAAGTGCCAAAAAGTCAAAAAAAGTCAAAGTAGCCGTTTTTTTTAAGTTCCAACGGCTAGTTTTTTTTTAAAAAAAAAAAAAAAAAAAAATTTGAAAATTCCCGTTTTTTAACGGTAACAAAAAAACCGGTTTCAAACCGGTTTTGGATCCGGTTCCTTCAAAATCCGGTTCTCGATCCGGTGGTCAAATCCGATTCGCATTCAAAGTCTCGATCCGGTGGCCGGTTCAATCCGATCCGGTTCGGTCAAAACCGGTTTTGACCAAATCCGGTTTTCGGATCGGATCGGATCCTAAAGCCCAATCCGGTTTTTGTGTGCATGTCTAACCTTCGCCAACAGAGCTCTGACCTGGTGGAATGGTCGAGTCAAATCCCTAACCCTACCAGTGGCAAATGCTATGGTTTGGGAGAGCTTGAAAGAGCTCATGCTTGCTGAGTACTGCCCTCGGGGTGAAATGCAGAAACTGGAGCACGAACTCTAGAACCTAAAGATGAAGGGTTTTGATATTGCTGCCTACACATCTAGGTTTGAAGACCTAGCACTCCTCTGCCCGGGAATGGTCGCCCCGGAAAACAAAAAGATTGAAAGATACATCTGGGGGCTGACCCAACCAACCAAAGGAAATGTCTTGGCTGCTAGGCCAAGCACATTCGACGGCGCTAAGTGCCTGGCCCAGACTCTGATCGATCATGGAGTCGATCTCAATGAAGTAACCACCGCTCCTGAACCGGCTAAAGGGAGTGGTGAGAAAAGAAAATTTTGGAAACAGAAGAAGGGTCAGTCTTCGCAAGAGCCCTCAAAGAAACAACAAATGGTGGCAGTCCACGCTGCTACTACTCCTGCGACTCAAGCATCTACCATTGGATATACTGGTACCCTCCCTTGGTGCAACAAGTGCAATTACCACCACCGTATCCCCGACTCATGTCGTGAAATACTCTGCAACAACTGTGGCAAGAAGGGTCACGTTGCCCGAAACTGCAGAACACCAGCCCAACCAACCAATCAGGCATCCGAAGCAGGTGTCGGTCAGGCCTGCTATGGTTGTGGCGAAGTCGGACACTACAAGAGAAACTGCCCCAAGACAGTAGCCACTGGCAACACTGGGATATATATATATATATATATATATATATATATATATATATATATATATAGGGTTAGGTTCATATGAGACGGCTTAATTTTGTGAGACCGTGAGATGCATTTTTTTATTTTTTTTATTTATTTTTTATTTTTTTTAGTTAATTCAAGTTCCGAAAATAATATTTAAAAAAAGAATTTTTGGATTTTTCCATTTATTTTGCATTTTAAAATTATTTTTTAGAATATATCAGTGTAATATTATATTAGAATATTTCACATATTTTTCAAAAAAAATGGAATATATTTTTATTTTTTTTTAATTTTTTTTAGTTAATTCAAGTTCCGAAAATAATATTTAAAAAAAGAATTTTTAGATTTTTCCATTTATTCTGCATTTTAAAATTATTTTTTACAATATGTCAGTGTAATATTCTATTAGAATATTTCACTTAGTTTTCAAAAAAACGGATTTATTTTTTTATTTTTTTTAGTTAATTCAAGTTCCGAAAATAATATTTAAAAAAAGAATTTTTGGATTTTTCTATTTATTTTGCATTTTAAAATTATTTTTAGATTTGGTCTCATGATCACACAAAATTAGAATGGTTTCAAATGAACCTGAACATATATATATATATATATATATATATATATATATATATATATATATATATATATATATATATATATATATATATATATATATATAGGGTAAAGTGAATATACCTAACAACCTTATATAAGCTTAGGTACCTATCACAAAATTAGAATTTTTGGATTTTTCTATTTATTTTGCATTTTAAAATTATTTTTCGATTTGGTCTCACGGTCTCACAAAATTAGAATGGTTTCAAATGAACCTGAACATATATATATATATATATATATATATATATATATATATATATATATATATATATATATATATATATATATATATGGTTGTGACCTTTATAGATATGATTATTTTATTATATAACTATAAAACCTATTATACTTCAATAATTGCATTAATGTGAATATTTTAATTTGGTTTACAAATCTAGTAAAAGATTTAAACATAAATAACGGCATTTCGGCCATTGTTGCACATGACTTCCAACAGAATTTAATCTCACAGTCATCCCTAACCAAATGTGCAGCCAAATCCAAGTAAATACGTTTATCATAATTTTCACACCAAGAATCTTTTCTTGTTTAAGCAACAACACTCATCAGTAATCGGTGTAGAACACTTCACTGGTTTCTTCCTCCAAAATCCAAAGTCAATTTATTTGCTATTTAAGCACCACACAATTCGTTGATCTCTGCAATTCTCATTCATTCTCTTCGTGGCCTGCATGTACCAAAGTAAGCTTTCTTTATCGCTTCCCCGATTTCTTCAATGGTTTTTTGAATTTGATCATCGAATTATGCTCTTCTTGCGACCTAATTTTGACCCGTTCATAGTCAATCGATCGCATATTTGTTATTTGCTTTGCGATCACTGATTACTCTTCCTTCGAATTTTACATCCATATTCAATTTGAAATTTCAAAGCTCGAACTTCCCCAATTCAAATTTACGGGGTTCTCCAAATTTTTAAGCAACAATCAGATGTAGTGAAAGTCAGGTTCAAACCTGGCATGACTTCTTCGCTTTCTGTATATTCTAATTTACATTTTACGCTTTACAACTACTTTTTTTCTTCATCGCAACAAAATTCGTTATATTTATCCTTTTCTGGCTTCCCTTTTGCTATAATAGGCCACAAAGACTCAAGTATCCAGTGAAGAATCAATGGGTAGAAGCTGTGATCATGATGCTCTCATACTCGGCCTTCTAATTGGTTTTTGTGTCCTGTTTCAATGTTCTGCAACTTTGTTGGATACGAATGCATTTCTGGTTGTAAACGCTTCTAAAAGCTCCACAAGGAAGATGCCCGAAAGCCTCTTTGGTGTTTTCTTTGAGGTACATATTATCTTCATTTTGTTTATTACAAATTCAAACATCACTTTCATGCTTCAACAAAGCTCTTAATCTTAACTGCATTTACAGGAGATCAACCATGCTGGTGCAGGTGGACTATGGGCAGAACTAATAAGCAACAGAGGTAAGTACATACAAGGAGGGTATTTAAGTCTTTTGCATTTCAGATGTTTGAGTAATAGTTAGTGACACTTTCTTTAAATCATGTCAGGTTTTGAATCTGGTGGACAACATTCTCCTTCCATTATTGCCCCATGGTCAATAATTGGAGATGAGTCAATGCTAAAAGTATCAACAGATTTTTCCTCATGCTTCAAGCAAAATCCCATTGCACTTCGAATGGAAGTGGTTTGTGATGATCATGGGACAAATATTTGTCCAGATGGTGGTGTTGGTATATATAACCCTGGTCATTGGGGAATGGTAAGTAACTTTTTACCAATTTGCCCTTCAAAAAGTACACTACTTAAGTGGTATTTGTTCTTTTTTCTTGTTTCTTGATTGTAGAATATTGAAGAAGGGAAGACTTACAATTTAGTATTTTATATTCGATCATCGGGATCAATCAATGTGTCGGTGTCTCTGACAGATTCTATTGGCGTCCAAACTCTAGCTACCACAAATATCATGTAATGACCATTTTACCCTTTGTGAGCAAAAATGTTAAAAAGATTTTCTTGAATTACCAAAGGGTTTTATTGTCTTTTCAGAGCAAGTGATGTATCAAATTGGACAAAGATGGAGACTAAATTAGAAGCAAAAGGAAGCAACCCTAATTCTAGACTACAACTAAAGACTGATAAAAAGGGAATCGTATGGTTTGATCAAGTTTCTTTAATGCCCTCCGATACATACAAGGTAAAAAGTTACCCGTTTTGGAAGGGTATTTTAGTCATTTGACGCGAATAAACGGATTTTGTTTGGAACAGGGGCATGGCTTCCGGAATGATCTTTTTAAAATGGTTGCAGATATGAAGCCAGGATTTATCAGATTTCCAGGTAGATATATATAATAGTATAATATATAAATATATTTCACTCATTCTTTTAATGTGGTAACATTGATTAATATATTTCACTTATTTATTTATTTATTTTTTGGAAATTAGGTGGATGCTTTGTTGAAGGAGAGTATTTAAGAAATGCATTTAGGTGGAAAGAAACTGTGGGCCCATGGGAGGAGAGGCCAGGTCATTTTGGTGATGTATGGATGTATTGGACTGAAGATGCACTTGGACACTTTGAATTTTTTCAGGTAAAAAAAATATATTTTTTTTTTTATAAAATTTAACAACTTTACACAATTTGAATAACATTTGGTTAAATTTTTCCACAGTTGGCTGAAGATTTAGGTGCAGCACCAATATGGGTATTCAACAATGGTATTACTAACAATAATAAAAAATTAAAAATATATATATGATTTATAAATTATAATCCGAGATTTATCTAAAAAATTTCTTACTTCTTTTGGTAATTAAAGGAATAAGCCATAAGGAGTCTGTTGATCCCTCCAACATCATGCCTTTTGTACAAGTATTATTCTCTTACTCTCTTACTCTCTTACTAATACTCTTTTCTTTTTATATGTTTATATGTTTATAAGTTATAACAATTTTGTATTATTTATAAAACAATGTATTGGATTTTTAGGAAGCTCTTGATGGAATTGAGTTTGCTAGAGGTGATTCAAATTCAACATGGGGATCTGTTAGAGCTGCTATGGGACACCCAAAGCCTTTTGATTTGAAATACGTTGCTATTGGCAATGAGGATTGTTGGCTCAAAAATTATCGTGGTATGCATCTTGAGGGCATTTTCGTCTTTTCCTGAAAATCAATCTGATCTATATATATATATATATATATATATATATATATATATATATATATATATATATATATATATATATATATATATATATATATATATATATATATATATATATATATATATATATGCACTTATTTATGAAACAGCAAATTACCTTCAGTTTTATGCTGCAATTCAAAAAGCTTATCCAGACATCAAAATGATATCCAATTGTGATGGATCAAATAGTCCATTGGATCACCCTGCAGATATGTATGATTTTCATGTAAGATTCTATCGTCAAAGTCAAACTTCTTTTATTTTTTTTATATATCAAAATTCAAATCAGATTTATTTTCTAATCATCGGTTTATTATTATTATTATTATTTTTAGATTTACGCAAATGCAAGCACTGTATTTTCTATGGCTAATACCTTCGATCATACATCACGTGTTGGCCCAAAGGTTTTTTATTTGTTAATTGTTAATTTTTAATTGTTAATTGTAAAATGTAAATCAATTAATTACGTGAAAATTAATTATTTTATTTATTTCAGGCGTTTGTGAGCGAGTATGCTGTGACAGGAAACGACGCTGGTTCTGGAAGTCTTTTAGGAGCTCTCGCAGAAGCTGGATTCCTTATTGGTGTAGAAAAGAACAGGTTCGTTGACTTTGACTTTGACTTAGATTTTGACTTTGACTAATTTTGACTTGTAACGAGATTGCTATTTGCAGCGATGTTGTTGAAATGGCGAGTTATGCACCTTTGTTCGTGAACACCAACGATAGGCGGTATGACTTTTATTCAATCTATGTGGAAAAAGACGTAAATACCCTTAGTATTTTGAGTATTGTGATGATGGGAAGTGTTTTATTTTGTTAAGGTGGATGCCGGATGCAATAGTTTTTGATTCTTCTCAATCATATGGAACACCAAGTTATTGGATGCAACATTTCTTCAAAGAGTCAAATGGTGCAACTCTTCTAAAGTCAACCCTCCAATCAAACTCATCCACGTCACTCGAGGCTTCGGCTATTGTGTACCGAGACACGGAGGATGATAAAAACTACTTGAGAGTAAAGGTAAGATAAACTTTTCGTAAATATATTTTTTTTGTCATTAAATTTGTTTTTAAGGAATCATTTAATTGAAGTGCAAAAAATATAAAATATTTTATGTTTTATAGGTTGTAAACTTTGGGAGCAACACGGTTAATTTGAAGATAATGATTGATGGGGTGGATGCTAATTTACTAGAAACTTCGGGGTCTAAAACCGTTCTTTCATCTACGAATGTGAGGGATGAAAACTCATTTGCGAATCCAAACAAGGTAAGGATGAAAATGGAAAGGGTATTTTTGTCTTTTAATAAATGGGGGTGTTATTTGGAAAGTGTGTATTGACGAGATGGGATTTGGTGCAGGTTACACCTGTCAAAAGCTTATTGGAGACAGCTGGGAAGAATATGGATGTTGTCTTGTTACCACATTCTTTAACTTGTTTCGATGTATTAATGAAATCGGATATCACACAAATGACAAGTGATGATAAGTCGTATGTGTCCTCTATGTAAGAAGGTGTTTGTTTGTATAATATTTTTATTAATAAAGGAATAAATAAAGGATAAATAAAAAGTTTGGTTATGGCATTTTATCGGTCTTCCCCACATGTTTGCCAACATTACATTATAAACTAATTAATTAAGATCAAAATTGACGTGAAGGTTTTAATTTCTTTAACTAAAAAATGTTTGATAAAATCAACTTTTGTTTAATAAATTCGGATAACTATCAATTACTCATCTATTTTCAAGCATTTCTATAAATATGGATGATTTTTAAGTTGTTACTTTAGAATTTTCTAAGGGGTAAATTAAAAAAAATAGTAATGTACTTCAATTTTGTTGCTTTATTATAGCATGTTACTCTCATTTCTATCTATTAAAACATTATAATTCGAAAAAAAATATCCAATTATAACATTGTGCTTTCAGTCATAGTTGTCAAACTTGTATGAGTCGAGCCATTTGTAACCTAAAACGAGGTGACTCACAGTGTGACTCGGTCGAAATTTCCGATTCATTGTCTGACTCGTACCGAGTCAAGTCAACTCGTGACTCAGACGAGTAATGTATCCCTCGGGTAATATCATGATCCATCAGGTAATCGGGTTTATTCAGTGGTTAATAACTTTTTTTTTGGAGCATGTTGAGTTTAACGAAACAAATCAGATGCAAACTTTAAAAATATGGACATTACATAGAGAAATTGAGGGAGGGAGGCAGAGAGTTTTCTTCTTCATGCTTCTCTCTTGTTTAATTCTTTTTATGCAAACCTTAAATTCTAAACCTTAAACAAACAAATGGTCATTTACTCACATTCAGTACCCTCGTAAACATCTCAATATGAGTAAAATGACCATCTTCGTGCTTCTCTCTTGTTTAATTCTTTTTTCATTGGGAAGCCAAAAAGTAGGGAAAGCTTTTTTAGATGGTGGTTCCCATGTAAAAGATGTAAAATTGGTGCTTTTTATTGTTTTTTCGTTAACTTTTTTATTTCTTTGAGCATGGCACTTGGTACAACGGAAAATTGGAAGGTTATAGGCTTAAATAGTAAACTTATATTTTGTTTATATATATATATATATATATATATATATATATATATATATATATATATATATATATATATATATATATATATATATATATATATATATATATATATATATATATTGTATATGATTTTTAGTGTCTTGAGTCGTGACTCATACAAGTCGAGTCATGATTCAAAATTTACGATTTAGAGTCACACCACAAGTTGAAAACTATGCTTTCAGTTTATTCTTTAAAACCATAAAAACCTATCCAATTATAATAGTAAAAATGGATCGACTAGATTTTTAAAATTACAATGATGCAATATGAAACAATTAAAATAAGATGCACTAATAAACAAATAAATAAAAGTACATTGCTATTTCTTGCAATTAAGATAAAAAATCTACACATACATTTCCATCTTTCAAGCAACTCGTTCGATGGTAATCCATCTATTCATAAACAAAAGCAACAATATTTTGAAATCAAAACTCCTTAGAGTGAGAGGTCAAATAGTCAACTCATACATTCTTGTTCTTTTTCATCTTTGAAGGAGGCCATCTTCCCTTCTTCCTCAAGTGGCGTTTCCTGACAAGCCTCTTTCTTCTCATTCTTATCTTCTTTGCCAGCTTCATTTTCAATTTCTGGTCCACCTGAGCTTGAACTTTTGACTCCAATGGAAGCTTTTCCACTGACAAGCTTTCATCAATGGCTTCCACAGCCGCCGGAGTGGTGTTTTCCGGCTCTGCACCATCCACGCCTGCCACCGCCTTCATAATCATTGCACCTTGTCCTTTATGTTTCAACACAAAGGGTGTTTGAATCAAATGTACCCTGGAAACTACATCAGTGAAGAACAGAAGGGCAAAATGGTCAATTTACTCATATTCATTCAGACAGAAAAGAAAAAGAAACGTAACTTCTAGATACAAGGGTAAAATGGTCATTTACTCAACTTTAGTACCCTCTGAACTAAATGTAGCACAACCAAGTAACTACATTGGTGAAACATAGAAGGGTAGAATGGTCATTTACTCACATTCAATACCCAACCATGTAACTACATCAGTGAAATATAGAAGGGTAAAATAAATGGTCATTTACTCACATTCAGTACCCAAACAATTAAGTGAAGTAACTAGATCAGTGAAACATAGAAGGGTAAAATGGTCATTTACTCACATTCAGTACCCTCCAAACTAGACATAGCACAACCAAGTAATTATATCAATGAAGCATAAAGGGGTAAAATGGTCATTTACTCACATTCAGTACCCTTGGAACTAGACGTAGCACAACCAAGTAACTACCCCACTGAAGCATAGAAGGGTACAATGGTCATTTATTCACATTCAGTACCCTCAGGGACTAAACGTAGGACAACCAAGTAACTACTAGCGAAGCATCATTTCGAGACACAAGGGTAAAAATGGTACTCACATTCAGTCCAAAAGTAAAACAACACAACACTTGCTTGAGGCAAAAATTACCAATTCAACCCTCTACATCATCTTGAACAAGATTATTTGATCAATATTGAAGGATGTTATAACAACATTGTTTAATAATAACTCAAAGCACACAATTTGCAATTTTTTACAAGTATTTTGATTTATTTAATCTTTGATCCTTTACAATTTCAAGCTATTAAATGATTGTACTCATTTAGTACAAAAGAAGATTCCATTTATCCATCTAACAGCTTATCCATACATCACTTAATGGAAATACAGAAACAAACCCTTAGCTCTCAGTAACACAGAAACTACGAATTCATATCTTCCCCCAATACTTTGAGTGAAAAACATTTTACACCAAAATGAACATCAAGGAATCTTTTAAAATGTGTTGCTGATTGGGGAATTTTATCGAACAGTTGGTGTCCATTTAAAACAAAATAATTGTGTTAAAATTGCTTCATCTTGTTACCAGCAGTCACATTACACATTCGTTCTATACCATTTCGTTTGTAAGATAACGCATGTACACATCAAAGATTGGGTTCAGTTGAGCGAATTCACAATAAAATGAGCTGGAAAAGTACATAAATTGAGTTGTACTTACAGGCATTGAAAGTAACGGAAGAAGTTGATCGGGATGAAGATAACTGAGAACAAACTGCAGGTGGAATTGCAGTGAAATGAAGAAGAACCATTGTGTCGTCAGAGTTGAGGTCTCTGGTTTCAGGATAGGCTTTTTGTTAGAAGAAATAAGGTTTGATATAGTAAAGGATAAGAGGCGTGAAAGAAATCCGGGTTCGGGTGTGAATGGCGCATCCATATTTCTTATTTGGTATTATTATTTATTTATCTCTAAATATTATTAAATTTTTTTTTTAATTATCCACTTAAGAAATGAGGGTCGTTCATTGCATTTCAATCCTATATTCTACACCCTTAGATCATTTTCCGACATCATCTTTACACCCAAAAACTCGTTGCCTAATGTTGTCTTCCGTTCGTCATTTACTTTCTCCGTATATTCTTCCGATGTAACGTTAAGAAACAGGTAAACCATTTGCTTCTACTTCAATCGGCCAAGATGACACATCTTCAGATCTCCACCGCCTTTGTACACCGCTTCTAATCCTATTGTTGCTTTCCTCTCCACCGCCTTTGTACACCGCTTCTAATCCCATTGTTGCTTTCCTCTCCACTGCCTACAAAAAGATGACGGAATACCCACATTATTCAATCAACATGTAGATTTCAGGGCTTTCTTTTTCTGATTTTAGGTTTTTCATTTCCATATTTCGTTTTCAACCGTCGACTTAAAATTGACTGGCGATTGTCATCTTGAAAAGTGTTTTTTGCATATTTGTTTGAGTAATTGTGAATTTTTGTTAGGTTTTGAAGGTGAATAGAACGTCAATATTAAATTCAATTTTCTTCTTCAGCAATTTGATCTCCTTATGTAGGATGTTTAATGCGTGTGATTGATATTAAACACCAGATCATGATAGTTGGGCGTTTTTGCATTTTTCATTGCTTTATCAACGTTTTTGTTCTGAATTTATTCATACGTTTCTGAGATCTATCTCAATTCTTTCATCCATACATACCTTTTTTTCCCATGATCTTATCGTATTCCGATACTCCATTCCATGGATGCTCATGCTCACGTTTTTTCTTCTCTTTGCTATCAAACAGTTGTTGAAATTAATGACGGATCAATATATGTTGCTTCAGCTTTTTCTGGTCACCAACAAGGTTAGATAAGATCCACTGCCAATCAATTTTTGGTGCACAACAATTTCTTGACAAAAGCTGTTGATAATTATCAAACAGCTGTACACGATAGAGATCACAAATTGTTGACAAAAGCTATCGAAGAAGCTTATAAAGGAGTAGATAATGGAGATGGATGCCCATTTGGTGCAGTTGTTTGCAAAGATGAGATTGTTGTGATTTGTCATAACATGTTTTAAAACACACAGATCCAATTGATCATGCTGAAGTTACAACAATAAGAGAGGTTCTGTCTAATGAATAAAAATGATTGTCTGTTTGTGAATTTAGTCTTCTTTTTTTTTTTTGTCATTGATAGATAGTTTTTTACGAATTATTATTTTTACACCATGTATTTCAGGCATGTAAAAAACTCAACCAAATTGAGCTCTTTGATTGTGAGATTTATGCCTCTTGTGAGCCCTGTCCTATGTGCTTAGGTTACAAGGAATGGTGTATAACAATGATCACATAAGGCTATCTTATCACATAAGCCGAATTCACATGGAGTAGAGTACAACAATGATCAAGAAATATGACCATGATACGGCTCGTGGTACAATGTCAAGACTATAATTGGCACATATCATTTTCTATTGTATGTATGATATGTATGATATGTATGGTATGTGGTGTCTTGGGGAGCTCACTAAGCTTTGTGCTTACAGTTGTTGTTTATGGTTTTAGGTACTTCCGGTTTAAAAGGGAAGGCCCGACTTGATCATAGTGCATACACCTGTATTTTCCGCAACTTAGTGATTTTGGGATTGTACTCTGATAAATATTTAATTATGATATACTAATGTTTGAGTAAAGGATAATTGGTGTTTTGATTATGTAAAAAAAATGAAACTTTTACCTTGAGGTTTTCGGGACGTTACAACTGTATTTATCTAAAATAGTCCAGATGGTCACCATATTTGTCAGGGCGTATACCGATCAATACAGAGACAAAGAAAACCAAACAGATGCACGAAATAACTGGCATACTCAAGACAACTAGGATCTCCCAATAGCATAAAATATAAAAAGGAACAGAGAAACCCTTACATATGAGAACACAAGATGATGAGTCAACTCCCTTGTCCATTCCCTACTAGGGTTTATCGGTGATAAACTCCGACTCCTGGAGAGTTATTTCAAATGAAGTGTCACAACTGGCATTTTGCTAGGAAATTATATTCCTATGTAAACATCATACATTGTAAAAGCCTATACTTACTATACTCTATTCTCGTTCAAATACATCTCATATGTTCAACTAAGGGTTGGAAACCCTAGAAATCCCGACTCAAGTTCATTATGGACTAAGATTCTCTTATTAGGCCTAAGGGACCAATAAATTATCAATTCATCAATCTATAACATTTTGGGCCATTTCGGCCTAGAATGATTCATTCTACCTCTAATGGGCCTTATTGGGCCATAACAACTCCAATTAACCTTAATTGACTTTAGAATCCATTCTTTTATGTCAAATTGGGCCGTAGATACACTTAAGGGCCCAATGGGCTGAAACTTATTTATTGGGCTTCCCAAAATCAAGCAAAGCCAAGAGTGGGCCAAACTAATTAAATTTCATTCATCTAGGGCCCAATTCTCGACCCATGTAACTAAACAAAAAAAAGGAGAAAATGAGGAATTATCTTCTAGTGACACATCACTTTTATCTAAAGGATAACCAAGCTAAATACATCACATACATCTATACAAGTTCCATATAACCATGCACACTCTCTTCCCTCTCCTCTTGATATCTCGGGCAAGAACCACACACACACACACACATCTCCTCTCAAACATCTCCAAATCTCTCAAGAACATCTCTACTTACTTCTAAGATTTTCGAGATTTAGATCAATTTCAAGAAGGTTTACCACCTAGATCATCATCTTTGGTAAGTTCTCACTTAGATCTATGATTTAACTTCTTAATCTCTTCAAAATCTCCTCTTACCACCTCAAATTTGTGACCATGCTCCCTAGAACTCATCAAGATTCGAAGATCACTTCAAGAAGCTAACTAGAGTCATAACTTACACCACATTCTTCTTATCTTCATCAAAAACCGAAATTCAAACCCCAAGGTGAGTTCATACCCCCTTGTTTTCTGTTTTTACTTGTTTTTAGGGGGAGAATACAAGTCTTATGTGTAGATCTATGTATATATGCATAATTATGTGTGTTTTCTTGAAACATTTGGTGATTATGTGTTGATTTCTTCACTAATCTAAAAATATGTTAAGAAACTTGAAGTGTATCACTAGGATCTTCAAATGAAACATGAGAAAAGTATGTTTTATCTCATATAATACATGTAAACTTGTATATCTGGGATTTGTATACTTGATATAGCAAAAATGAGTGTTGGGTTCAAAGATCTATAAACTAAACTCACAAAACAGCCCTTGATAGAAAAGTTTTGGTTCAATCTAGGACTGTTTTGACCCTCTTAATGGAAGTATTTTTCAAAACTGTTTTACATGGATAAATTTCAGATTTATACCTTTAAAATGACTACTCTCACGTTTTCATACGATTTTTCTACAATTTTTGGTGAATTTTTGAAAACTGCCTATCATATTTGAAATAATTTCGGACCAACCTATGAAGATGAGTTATTTCACACTAGTTTTAAGCCATCAAAAATTATGAACAAAGTAGACAAAATTTACAAACTTCCAGAATTTACGGATCCAAATTTCAACTTACGATGAATTTTCTACAAATTTTCTAAAAACTAGGTCGGAAAAGCCAAAAACAACAAAAATGTGTATTTTCACAAAAATCAAGCCAAAATGATATTTTTGACAAAAATGTGTTTATAAATGTTATTTTTACCACACACTAGTCATCAACACAAGTTTTGAACAAAAATGGAGACTAAAGTGTTATTCTTACAAAATTGGGCTTTAATCGCAAATTTTTGGCCTATTGGGCCAAGAACGTCATTTTTACAAAAAATGGGCTTTAGATATCAATTATGTAAATAATCAAGCTAAAATAAACAAAACAATAACAAACGGGTTAAAAACGATATTCATATCCTTATTGAACTTGGAAATAATATACATGTTTAGTGGGCCTTAGCGTCCTTTTACATGTATATTGGGCTCGGGATAGATATCCATATCTTTATTGGGCTTGGAAATAATATACATATTTAGTGGGCCTTAGTGTCCTTTTACATGTATATTGGGCTTAGGATAGACATTCATATTCCTTTGAGTCTGGAAATAATAGATGCGTATAGTGGGCCTTAGTAGTCCACTTACATGTTTATTGGGTCTGGGAATGAGTTTTATGCGCGTTCTTCTTTTTTATGATATTTTAGTGAATACTTGAGCCAAAACCAATGATAAACCAACAAATGGATTTAATTTGATCATTTTCTAGGTTATTGGGCCTTAGTGGCCCATTTTTATGTGTGAGAGGTCCTGTATATGTTTATTGGGCCTCATTGACCCATTAACATGTGCGACGGACCTTGGATACTATTTGTGTGCTATTTGGGGCCTGTAAATACTTTACATGTGAAATGGGCCTTAGTTGTCCTTTCATATAGATTTCGGGCCCATGTTATATAATCTCATTCCAATTGGGTATTGAATGATTTACATGTTTAGTGATGCCTTAGTGGTTCACTTACATGGATCATTGGGCCTGGAAGGAGTTTATACCTTTTTCTTCACGTAAATTCGATTAAGGATCTAGTGAGTATTGTCGGTTGGCACCGATTAAGTGTACGATCGTAGCCTGTAGTCAGAGTCTCTTGGAGGGAGAACGGAGATTTGTGTATAGATCTATACATGGATGACACCCCACACCCAAGTTATTCACTACAGTTAGACTAACTCAGTCTAGGGTGACGAAAACCTTATAATCAAAGTCAAAACCGGCGTCCAACGACGCCAAGACGGGTGAAATTGTCATTATTTAGTATGGTTATGACGACTCGTTTAGAGGAATTAACATTATGAAGTTTACGGAATACCATTTTTTTTTACAGGAAACGTTGGGTTGTCTGGGAACATTCTCTTTACATGCTCTTACATTCTCTCTACATTGTCTTTACCTTTGAGTCAAATAAACAATAACATACATGCATTAATACAAGATCTAACACAAACACACAAAACAGTTTTCAGAAAATATCGGATTTTCTGGTGGTTTTCAAAGTTATACAAATCATTTTCACAAACATGCTTATGAACACCAACATTTTTATGTTGACCGTTTTCAAAATAACTTGTATTCTGTCACACCCGCAAACCAGAACGGCGGAAACGTTCGGGGGCGGAGGACGTCATATTCAGTATCATAACAGTTCATAGAAAGGAAAGTACACACCACCATATATATTAAAGTTTCCAAGATGTTTACATAATTGTATTCATTACATGTTCAAAAGTTAAATACATAAACATCATTCAAAAGAAGTAATTAACGCCAGCGCGTTAATCCCAAAAGTTGATTCCCAAACCTGCTTAGCGGTTCCCTGAGAATACAAGTTAATTCAAAGAAAAAGTGTCAACAATTAAGTTGGTGAGTTCATAAGTAGTTTAGAAAAATTGGATGCCATTCCAAAATGGGTGTATGTTTTCCAGAAAACTCAGTATTTCAAGTGTGAAGAGTTATGACTTGTTGTAATGAAAATGAATGTATTAGATCCAGAAAATCCCATATTTTCCCGAATGGTTGAGATATGATTTGTTGTGTCTTCCAAGAAAAACCCTTATTTTCTTATAAAAGTATGAAATGCATATGAATGTTCGTGTCATAAGTTGTAAATAATTGCACCAGGAAAATCCCTTATCTTCCTATTAGTTGTTTGGTTTGTACACATGAAAAACCCTTATTTTCCTAACATGACTGGCAGTCTCTAAGACTGAAAGTTGCAAGAAAATGACATTCTTAAAAGTTGTATCATAGTTTTATATAATAAAGCTATACGAAGATCGCATTTGTTAGATGAAGAATAGTTTTAACAGTTACTCGTTCATAAAAGCATAATACCACAATAGTTGTATATCCGATGAGTTTTATAACCATACTAAACATAATATGCCTGTAACGACGTTCTTCAGGCGTCGCAGCGTTATGACAACTGTCACCCCAAAAGACGGACTGTAGCTAACAGTCGGGGCGCGGGATCATGACTTCCCGTATAGATCTATACACATTTGACACGTTCTCAGAACGGGAGACTCTGGTTATAGACAGGACTTGCAGCATTACTTTCTAATAAAGAAAAGTAACGTTTGAAGATATACACGTCTCATGGATTCTCAACTAAGCCTGTATTAAAGTGATAGTTTTGTATGCAAAGTTTATCCTTTTTCACAATGTTTGACAAAGCAAAATCATAAATTTTTAGAATGTATAAAACGACTTAACAATAAAAGGTACTTTGTAATCATTATATACTTTGTATAAGTCTAATGCACACCAAGTATGACAAGAGTTTTCCATAATA